TGAGAGAGAATCATTGATTGGCTGCCTCCTGCACACCTCACACTGGGGATGGAGCCCACAGCCCACAACCCAGGGATGTGTCCTGAACCGGGAATTGAACCGTGACCTCCTGGTTCACAGGTCAATGCTAAACCACTGAGCCACACTGGCTGGGCTTTTTTTTTTTTTTTTTTTTTTTTTTAAATAAGGAGCCTCTACTTATATTGCTTTGCAAGAAACTTTAAGTCCTCAGTTAACCTTAAAGAAACAGCTTGGAAAGCGTTGAAAATACATCATGGATATGACTTAGGTAGGAAAGAGCTCAAGAACTCTAATCAGCACCCTTGCTCCAAGAAAAGGTTTGGCCTCACATAGGAAATTTGGCAACTTGGTTTCCTAATAGGTTTTAAGTGAATATGAAATGTTAAGATGTGTATATGTAATACACATAATTATTTTTAAAATAATTCACTGCTTTAATATACCTTTTAACCTAACTGACCTTTTTTGGGCTGGATCCCGTTTGCTTGGGAGAGATAAATCCTTATTCACTAGTCCCTTTATTTTCACAGGAGGGCAGGCAGGGGAGAATCTGTCTTGGTTTTTCCAGAAGACTTACGTAATTGGTGAATTTGGGTCTGCCTGTCCTCAGAGAGAGAGTGCAGTCTTCTCTAATCAGACATGGTTAAAGTTGCTAGACCTCTGCAAGGGGGAGGCTGGAGTTTTGGGGGAGCTACTTTTAATTCGGGGGATATGAAAAAGCCTATTGGTCACCATCCAAGCCCCATTCTTCAGTTCAGCTTTATGGGTAATAGAAGTTGATATTCTCATCTTTTCATTGGTTCCAAACTTGTAAGAAGGATGGTACTCACTGTCCCTGTGGATAAGATGGTCTCTATGTACTGTCACAATCAAAACACATTATTTTCCCTTTGATTTTAGTCCGTGATTCTGTTCATTCAAACAAAAAGTTGTCTCTGTTTTGCAGGCGGTAGTCTAGCCTTGTACGAAGTCCAATCTGTATCTCAAGCTAGACAAAGAACACACACACTCACACACACACACACACACACACACACACACACACACACACACTATGGCTCCTGAGGAATACTGATATCAGGAAGTATTGACTGAGAAGGGAAGAGGAACCCAAACATTGCTCCTGCCAATCCTTCTCTCCCCTCCCCCACCACATCCTGAGAATCTTACTTGTCCTGATTTCTGGAACAGGTAAACATGGCAAACTTAAGATCACAGTCTGTGCGGCTATCTAAATGGGACCTAGCAAACATTGAAGGGAATCATCTACTAGTTCTTTAGCGGGTCATAAAATCAATGTAGTAGGTCCTGACCAGTATTTAAAAAGAAGTAAAAATAATAAAGTTGAAACTATTAGCAGGCAATGGGTGTATAGAAGTCGAAATAAAAATGTACATTTTAAGTATATATGGTTTATTGTATGCCAAGCATACCTCAATAAAGCAGTAAAAACACCTAAAAAGGCCATCTTAAAATAAAGATGAAGTAGAAAAAAACGTTAGCATGCATTGCATAAAATAAGGGTAATATTTCAGGAAGCTTCTTTTTCAGAGGTGTGTGTATCTGGGCACATGTGTGTATACATTTTGGGTTGAGAATTGGAATGTATTTCTTCTTATGGGGGGAGCACAGTCACAAAAGCTTGCAGAGAATATTATTTAGCTATAAGAAAGGAAATCCTGCTATTTTAAACACCATGGTTAGATCTTGAGGGCATTATGCTAAGTGAAGTAAGTCAAGCAGAAAAAAGACAAATACTGTATGATCTCACTTGCATATGGACTCTTAAAAAAGCATAACTCACCCCGCTGGCATGGCTCAGTGGTTGAGTGTCTACCTATGAACCAGGAGGTCACGGTTCAACTCCCGGTCAGAGCGCATAACCGGGTTGTGGGCTTGATCAAGCCCACCAATGATTCTCTCTCATCATTGATGTTTCTATCTCTCTCCCTTCCTCTCGGAAATCAATAAAAATATACATTTAAAAAAAGCAAAACTCATAGAAAGTTGTGAAAAAAAGTTTGCAAAGCACTGGTTTGAGGTGCACATTTCTTCTTCATGTTTGCTCTTTGCTAATTTGCTCTGAAACTGCTGCCTTTTGAATAAAACCTGTCAGCAACCATGAGAAGGGCCAATTCTCACGCTGTAAACAGCTGGCATGCAAAAACCATTGCTCCTACCTCATTGCTCTGAGTCAAACGCCCAAGTATCATTAAGATCGAAGGGCAGGGATCTGGAACCTCATGAAGTAAGAGGTGACAGGAAAATTTACTTTAACATTTACCTACGCAGTTCAATTTCCAGGGGTCCTTCCCTGCCAGCAAATTACTAAAGGTTCAGGTCAGCGTTCAGGACCATAACCCTAGCTTACCTTTCCGACTGACTCACTCACTCTTCTCCCACAGGAATCCTGTGCTCCAACCAAACTGGCTTCTTGGTGTTCCCAGAACACTCCTTCCAGTTCTCATTCTGTGTCCTTGATTGCACTGTTCCTTCTGCCTCCTCAACTAGCCTGTCTCTGCTTGCCAGTCCCATCCACCCTTCAAACATCCACTTCCAATTTCCTTGCTGGGTTCCTAACATCTTTCCTTTGAATTCCATAAATATCTTTTAAAGAAATACCTTTTGTCATGATAACTTTAATAATATATTTAAGAATACCATTGCCCTGGCCGATTTGGCTCAGTGGATAGAGCGTCAGCCTGTGGACTGAAGGGGGTCCTGGGTTTGATCCCGGTCAAGGGCATGTACTTTGGTTGCAGGCTCTTCCAGGGTCCCGGCCCTGGTTGGGGGCATGCAGAAGGCAACCAATCGATGTGTTTCTCTCACATCAATATTTCTGTCTTTTCCTCTCTCTTTTACTCTTTCTAAAAATCAATGGGGAAAAAAAATCATCAATGGAAAAATATCCTTGGGTGAGGATTGGAAAACAAACAAAAAGAGATTACCATTTGTCCTGACATTCAGAAACATGTAGTATAAAAATAAGAAAATACAGAAGTCACAGAAGGAAAAACATCCCATTTTTTAATGTATGCATGGTACATAGATGGATATATATTACAAGGTGGTATTATGTCATCTTTTAAAAAATATTTTTATTGATTTCAGAGAGGAAGGGAGAGAGAGATAGAAACATCAACGATGAGGGAGAATCATGGCTTGACTGCCTCCTGCACGCCCCACACTGAGGATGGAGCCCACAACCCCGGCATGTTTCCTGATCAGGAATCCAACTGTGACCTCTTGATTCATAGGTGGATGCTCAACCACTGAGCCATGCCCATTGAGCTATGTCATCTTTTTTTTTTTTAATCTTTTTTTTAATTGATTTTTCACAGAGAGGAAGGGAGAGAGATAGAGAGTTAGAAACATCGATGAGAGAGAAACATCGATCAGCCGCCTCCTGCACACTCCCGCCGCCTCCTGCACACTCCCTACTGGGGATGTGCCCGCAACCCAGGTACATGCCCTTGACCGGAATCGAACCTGGGACCTTTCAGTCCGCAGGCCGACGCTCTATCCACTGAGCCAAACCGGTTTCGGCTGAGCTATGTCATCGTAATCAGTTTCTTCAACAGGGCTTTTGATGGCTACAAACTATAATTTATTTAACAATCATAGAACATTGGGCATTTTGCTTGTTTTTCACATCTGGGAGCATATATGGGGTAGTATAGAAAGAGCCCGAATTGGTCAGTGATAATTAGGAGAAATGTAAGTCAAGCCCCCCCCCCCCCCCCCAGGAATCTTTGGAGATAGTTTAGAAATGCTGGTTTCCCGCTTAAAGTGAAATAGGGGTTCGAACCAATTGCACTTTAAAAAAAAAATTTTTTTTTAAGCTTGCAACGCGGGTGTGTGCCTTTGACCGGAATCGAACCCGCGACCCTTCAGTCTGCAGGCCGATGCTCTACCCACTGCGCCACACCGGCCAGGGCCCCTGGCGCTCGTGTTGAAGGGCAGTAACCCCTGCGGAGGCCACGGATGACTCAGGACTCGGCGGAGGGGTCACCCGGGCAGCCGATCCACGGACACGCGCGGGGCGCAGAGGCAGGCCTCCCTTGACGCATCCCTTCAACCTCCCACCCCGATCCCGGGCTCCATTAACCATCTTATCTCTTCCTCTCCCCTCTCCGCGCCTCCGCCCGAGAGCTCCTCCTCGAACGGACACGAAACACCGGTCCCTTGTACTGTCGCTGCCCCCGGAGCCGCAGGCCTGCGTTTTGCCTCCAAACTCGCGGAGAGCATCCCCGGGGACCGCACTCCTCGCCCGGGCGATCGCTCGGCGCAGGGGCGGCAACCGGGCGCGCCCTCCCGCCAGCGGGGCCTCTCCGCCCGGCTCCGCACCCCGACCCGCCCCGCCGCGCGAACCGGGTGCGCCGGGGGCTGGGGGCGCCTCGCCGGCCCCCGCGCCGCCCTGCCAGTCACCCCGCGCGGGCCACGCTCCCAGGACGCAGACCCGTCCCGGCGGCCCCGTCCCTCGGCCACCGCGGCAGCCGAGCCGCGCCCCGCACCTCCAGGCCCGCGCGGACCCGCTTCCTGTCAGCGCCGCCCGCGGCCCGGCCGCCGTCCCGGCCCCTGAGGCGCGCGCCGCGAGACGCCGCCAGGCAGCGCCCGGCCCCCTAGTGGGCGACTCGGCCCCGGCGGAGGCCTCGGGCCCGCCCCGCGGCGCCTCACACGACGAGGCCCAGGTCGCGGGGAGCCGGGCCCGGAGCGGTGCTCGCCGGGCCGGAGGAGGGGCCCGGGGCCGGGTCTGGGGTCTGGGGTCCGGGGTCCGGCCCTGCTCGCCGCCGTGGGGCCTGCGCCGCGCGGCCCGACTCGGGCGGGAGGAGACGGGAGGCGGAGGCCGGGCCGGGCAGCCCCTCGGCCGCGCCGCGCTGGCCGGTGCCCAGGTCCGAGTCGCCTTCCGCCCGCGCCCCGCCCGCGGCCCCAGCCGGGTCCCGCCAGCCCGGCTCCCGCCCCCGCTCCGCCCCCGGAGCCGCGGCCCCGCCCGCCGCCGCCGTCGCCATGTTGGGGCTCCCGCAGCCGGCGCCGCGGACGCGCGCGGCCGAGCCCGGGGCCTGTCGCCGCCGCCGCCAGGTAAGCGCCCCCGCGGGCCGGGAGGGCCGGGGCCGGGGCCGGGGCCGGGGCCGCCGCCGAGGTGGCCCGAGCGCGGGCCGGGGGGAGCGGGGCCGGGGGAGCGCGCGCCCGCGGCCGGGCCCTGCAGCCTCGGACCCTGCGCGCCGCCCCGGGCGCAGCCGCTGCCCCGCCGCCGCCTGGCGGCCCGGCCGCCTCCCACCCGCCCCCGCGCCCGCCGCCCGCGGGACACGCCGCTGCCCTCCCCGCGCGGGGCCCGGGCCGCCCCGCGACAGCCCGCGGCCCCCGCCCGGGCACCGCTAACGGGGCACTTTCGCCGCCGGGACGCCTGTCAGCCGCCGTCCCCGCCGCCCAAGGAGCTGGCGCCGTCGGGAGGCGGACTCTGCGCGCGGCGACCCTTTCGGGCGCCCCCGCCCCCCCTTCACCGCCGCCCGAGTTCTGACCCCGGAGGACTCCTCGCGGGCGGACAGGTCCTCCCGCCCGGAGCGGGGTCCTGGGGGCGCCAGGCCCGCGGGTCCGCGTGGACATGTCCCTGCACCGGCTCTTCCTGCCAAGCCGGGGGCGGCTCAATGTGACCCGCGGAGGACGGGAGCGCCCGCCGGACAGATGGCCTCCTGGCCGCGGGTCAGCGCGTGCGCGGGGGAGGGGTCCTGCGGCCCGAGGGGCGCCGGCTGCCGCGCACCCCGGGCCGTGGGAGCTGCCCAGGAATTTTTTACTTTTTTTTTTTTTTTGGAGTAGGCCGGAGGTGGCGTGAAAAGTCCTGGATTGCAGTCACCCCGCAGGCCCATCCAGGGGAGCGCGTCTGGCACCCAGGACGCGCCTGCCATAGGACGGGCAGCAGGGGAGTGGGACCCGGGGCTGCAAGATGGTGCGTGGCCCGGCCCGGCCCCTCACCTGCAGCCTGTGCTCACGCAGGGCCTGCTCCGAGCATCTGCCCAGGTGTGCACCGGGGGCACACAGTGTGTCTGGCCGGCAGGGCCTGCTCCGAGCATCTGCAGGTGTGCACCGGGAGCACACAGTGTGTCTGGCCGGCAGGGCCTGCTCCGAGCATCTGCAGGTGTGCACCGGGGGCACACAGTGTGTCTGGCCGGCAGGGCCTGCTCCGAGCATCTGCAGGTGTGCACCGGGAGCACACAGTGTGGCCGCGCAGGCAGGATGTGGACAGACAGATGTCTGGCCTGGGAGGTGCTTGGCGGGATCGCAGGGGTCTGTTTCCTCAAACTCGGGTCAGGTCCACGGCGCAGCGAAAGAGGAAGTCATGGTGCGGGAACGCACGTTCTGACCATTTCCCCCCTTTTCCTCCGCTGGGTCGCGGCTTTGATTCGCGCGGGCCGTTTCTTTACTGAGCACTTACTATGTGCCAGCCGCGGGCCTAGGTGCTGGGAAGACCGTGGCCAACCAGAAAGGCGAGTTTGAGCTCGAGCCGGTCGCAGCCTAGGGGGAAGGCCCGATCATGAACAAATAATCTCGAAATGACACCCAAACAACCGCGTATTTATTCAGAAGCATGTGCCAGGCCTTGTTTTAGATGCTGCGAAGAAAGCTAGCAAAACGTATCTGCCCCCGTGGAACTTTCATTTTCGTGGGGGGTGGGGGGGGGGGAAGACAATCAAAGGAGATAATGTAACAAAAGACAGAGCCTGTTAGAAAAGTGCTAAGTGCGAAGGAGAAAAAGAAGATAGGGAAAGAGGATCTGAGATATCTGGTGGGGGTTGCGTTTACGTTCTCGTGGCCTGGGAAGGCCTCCCCAAGAAGGTTGCCTTTTGAGTAAGACTTTGAAGGGGTGAAACGAATCGTTTCAAAATGCGATGTGTGCAAGGAAAACAAAACCAAACAAAAAAAGAGCTGGGAGAAAACAGAATGGGCCTTGATTTGAGTTGGGGGCTCGGGGAAGGAAGTGACGAGGAGGCTGAGCCCTGGAGGAGGGTTAGGAGTTAACCATGTGTGGAGCTGCAGCGCTGGGCCAGTTGAGGAAGTGAAAGAGGCCTGTGAGGCTGGAGGGGGGGAAAGGAGAGGGGAGATAAGTCTGGGGAGAGGTGGGTGGGATCACGGGGGGGGGGGGGGGCCTGGGGCCAGGCGCATTAGTTCGGATGGTATCCCCAGTGTTGTTAGGGACCTGCGGAGGGTTTTGAGTCTGTGACATAATGACATTTACATTTGAAAAGGTCTCTGGCATCCGTGTGGGGAATGCACTTTGAGAGAAGCAGGTAAGGCAAGGCTGTCAGCGTTGCGTGGCCTAACTACTTGATCGCCTTGGGAAAGTCTCGGTCTAGCAGCCTGGGGGCGATCCCTTTCCTCCTGAGGCTGTTTTGCCCAGTTTTTAGGAATTAGCATTTATGGAGCCGCATGCTAGGTGGGGCAATCAGCGTTAGAGACTTTTCCTATTTAATCCTCTCTGCACCCTAACAGGAAGGGGTTGTCCTGCCCCTGGGCGGATAGCAGCCCAGAGGGGACAGAAAACAAGCCCCGAGGGGGGTAGACAACTTATCTAAAGCCACCTTTGTAACACAATCTGCTTTCAAACTCAGGTCTGCCTGATTCCAGAGCCGGGGCATCTTGCTTCTACAGCTTGCTAACAGGATCATCTTGAGCTATGTAACCCCTCTTGTGCCTCAGTTTCCTGTTTGGGAAAGCCTCAAGCTTTCCCCAGGTTACCTAAAAAGAAAAAGGAACTACCTCATGAGGTTGTCATGCGGGTCACATGAACTAATCCATGTAAACATTGTAATGCATAGCTCAAATCTTAGTTGCTACTATTATTTAAACATTTTGTTTTTTTTTATTTTTTTTGGTATAGCAAAGGTGGAGATTTATTGAAGAACAAGTACAGACTCCCACGTGGGGAGGGGAAAGAGTCTCCTTATTTAAACATTTTAATATATTTTATTGATTTTTTACAGAGAGGAAGAGAGAGGGATAGAGAGTTAGAAACATCGATGAGAGAGAAACATCGATCAACTGCTTCCTGCACACCTCTTACTGGGGATGTGCCCGAAACCAAGGTACATGCCCTTGACCGGCATTGAACCTGGGACCTTTCAGTCCGAAGGCCGACGCTCTATCCACTGAGCCAAACCAGTTAGGGCCCTTATTTAAACATTTTAAACATCCATGCTGCCTCTCAGCATATTTTGGTCATTTTGGATGAGATTAAATACGTAGTTAATTAAATTCTGGAATTTTGTGAGACCCCCGTGTTCCCTCCCTTTTCCTCTAAATAACTTAATGCCATGTTCCATGTGATCAATCATTCAACATTGATCTCCCATTTCATTTGTGACACTGTGCTAGGATTTATGGATACAAAGTGACTTCTATCCCTGAAGAAGCTCATGGGACCCAGGGGAGGTCAGATATTTTAAAAGATGAGCTACAATGTACTTAATAAGTTCTCTAATGCAGCTGTAATTAGAGACTTGTTGGGAGTAGTAAGAACTAAAGACATGGGGGCTTCAGGGAGGAGGTGACTTTTGAACTGGGCTTCGGAGGAAGAATAGGAAACTTACAGGCAAGATTGGGCAAAGGACATTCTAGGTAGAGAGAACCATGTGTGAAAATATGGAATCATGAGAGGCTTGGTTTGGCAATGAGGTTGGAAAGCTGAGTTGGAGCTGTAAAAGGCAGGTCAAGAAGTTTGGATTTTAGCCCTAGCCGGTGTGGCTAAGCGGATAGAGCATCAGCCTGTGGACTGAAGGGTCCCAGGTTTGATTTTGGTCAAGGGCACATGCTCGGGTTGCCATCTTGATCCCCAGTGGGGGGTGTGCAGGAGGCAGCTGATCAATGATTGATCTCAGCATTGCTATTTCTATCTCTCCCTCTCCCTTCCTCTTTAAAATCAATAAAAATATATTTTTAAAAAAGTTTGGATTTTTCCATGGGAGCTATCAGGGAATCTGAGATACATCAGACACTTACAGGGATGGGTGCTGCAGTTACAGAGACAGACGTCATACTGGAGGTGGCTTTAGGTTGGTGGAGTCACCCTGCTTCAGGGTCTGGTTCTCAGTTTTGTAGACCCCAAATTCAGTTTTTGTAGGGCGCTCAGAGCTGATTGGGTTCCAGGAGACTGACTTACTAATCAAACTTGGAAGAGACTGCTGTATAGACTCAGGGTATTAACTGGCCATGAGAAATGAAACTGCAGAATGACAGATGTTTTTGTCCTCTGGCCATTGCCTCCCCACCCCCACCCGTGTCAGACCAGGACTGGGACATGCTAACAAACTCTTGCTCTTCAATTCCTGTTTGTTTTTCTCAGGCTCCATGAAAACTAACCCTTTCTGTTAACATAATTTTTTCCCCCTCAAGCTCTGCATACTGTCGTCCACAATGATTATTAATTGGTAGAGTGAATGATTCCATATCAGTTGGGTAGGACCCTGTGTTTGTGACAGTTCAGGAAGAGGAGGAATAACTTTTTTAGAATTAAAATGGGAAAAAGGGGTTTCCCCAAATTGGGTTCCTGGAGGAGGTTTGCATTTATTTATTGATTGAATTTATTGGGGTGACATTGGTTAATAAAATTATATAGGTTTCAGTATGCAATTCTATAATACATCATCTTTATATTGTATTGTGTTCATCGTCCCAAGTGAGGTTTGCCAGGTTCTAAGTGGCATGGGTAATTTTGTGGCTACGGGCATGGGGTTGTGGACAGATACATTGGAAGTTGTTCTGGAAACAGAGTTCTGTGAACTCGAAGGTTTTTTTTTGTGTGTGTGTTTTTTAATCCTTACCTGAGGATATTTTTTTCCAACTTTTAGAGAGTAGAAGGAAGGGAGGGGGAGAGAGAGAGAAAAACATGATGGGAGAGACACACTGATTGGTTGCCTCGGGGATCTAACCTGAAACCCAGGTACATGCCCTTGACTGGGAACTGAACCCATGACCTTTTGGTGCACGGACTGATGCTCTAACTGCTGAGCCACTCCAGCCAGGGCAGGTGTTTCCATACACGTCGGAGACAGAAAGGAAGGTAGCCATTCCTGTCCCCTGTTCATCCT